AAAAAAAAAGAATCCTAAGAGTCGAAGAGATAGTTAACTACTTATTACGTAAAATCGTTTGGTGTGAAAAGGAATCGTATATTAATATCGTCCTATTGTATATATAGCTTTACCACGAACTAACGGAAACAATCTTGCACTTGGAAAGTCTGCCCGGCAAATTTCAACATACGAAAAGGGAGTCGCGTCGAAGGCTGTGGATGGCGTACGAAATGGAGACTATAATGATGGATTCTGTTCACACACATTGTTCTCAAAGAAACCTTGGTGGAGATTAGACCTCGGTGAACAGGTCAGTTTCAACTAGGGGCGAATTTACCGTGGGAGTGCAGGAGGGGGGGGGGTGCGCACCCCACCTAGTGTCTATAGCTCTCCTCCTAAAGAAGTCCAGCACCACCCTAAAACAATCTGCTTGACCATACATTTTCTGCTTTTCGAATAGCCATTAGCGGAACGTCTACTGTTAGCACGTGTTGATTTCTTGAAACGATTTAATTGATTTGTGCGATCATAAAAAAATATTTAGAATGCTTTAGTTAAATATCATAGTTAATAAAACCTGCATGTCGAGGTTGTTATACAGCCATTTTTTCGGATACACTGTACTTTAGCGTATATAAACAAAAGATATATAAACAAAAGATAATGTAAGAGCTGGCTCAGCTCACCCCTAGCCAAGTTATAGGTAGCGAAAGTGAAATTCAAATCTGAAACTCTCTTAATTACCCGCCGGAAAATGGCCCACTTCAATTTTCCGCAGAATAAAAATTTTGTAAAATTTGATTGGCCGACACAAATTTTCCGTAGGAAAAAAAATTTTGAAGTTGAAAATTTTCAACTTTTAATAATGATATTTTCGGAAACTTTTCTGTCCGTGGAAATTTTCTTGAGTGGAAATGGGCCTTTTTAGACAAATACTTACCCCGTTCTCGCCATTTTGTTTCCCTCAGGAACGGGTTGGAATCGTATACGTCTCGAATCGCGCAGACTGCTGCTGGTCACGACTGTCTGGTTTCGAAATTCGCGTTGGTAATAGCTTGACCATGGCCAGGAACACACGGTGCGGCACGACGCTTTCTCTAAACCGTGGAGAAACCAGAGAAATTATATGTAACCCTCCTCTTGACGGACGATATGTGAGCATTTCAATGGAGAACTCTGGTGGTGCCTTCTTAACTTTGTGCGAAGTCGCTGTTTATGCACGTAAGAATTTTCAACCGTCAATGGGGAGGACAGTCTAACTCCTAATCTTCAGACCTCTTTGGGACCTCGCCAATGGGGGGATTCAAGGTTTCCGACGCCATAACGAAACACAATAGTGCAAGGGGTACAAACACAATGGAATTTCCAATTTGTAAATCTGCAGGGGATGCAAACACAATGGTGAAAGCAATAGATTCAAGATGGCTTCGGAAACCTTGAATCCCCCTACTAATGTGTCCACTTAAAAGGGGGTGTTGTCCGTTAATAAGGGTTCGATTGTACATCTGCTATAATGCTTATATACCCAATTCACAACCTTTAAGTCGCACACGTGCCTAATTACGATTGTTTCCAGTTTAGAAAAGCATAGAACAGAACGAAAGTGATGTACGCATTAAAATTATCTACAAAACATAAGTGAATAAGTCGTAGAAGGCTTTACCATGTGATTGTTTTTCGAAATCAGAACAGTACTACTAGATATATGCGAGTTATATTTCCTTCACGAAATTTCGATCTAAAATTAAAAACAATTGTATTTTAAGTAAATTTTTGAACATAAACACTTATAACTGCAGGATGACAAGTTTATACGGCATTTTAAAATTATTTTGCAATTGGTCGAGGTATTGGTACGGCGCATACGAAATAGATAAGCTCTTTAATCTGATCTTCATTTCTCTATCGTTTCAGCCGCAGAAAATCCGACGAAGAAACCGTCAAAGCCAGGTACGTATAAATGGCTCATCCATGCAAGGCCGAGTAGTTTATTTTTACTTAATGGTCTCCCTTTGGTAGTTGTCATGGTAACCGAACTGAAACAGTTTAAATCCAAAGTTTGCGGGTATATTAGATGATTTTTTTGAGCAAAAGAACAAAGGCAAAACAATTTTCAGTTCATTTAATAACATCGTGATAGGAAACTTTGAGAGTGAAAAAGTGATGAAGGTGTAAGGCTTTTTACTATAAAGATATCTGACATTTCTTAGAATGACTCGAATATCACACGTATAAAAAATCATTTTTGGAATTAATCCCACTGATTATAACGATTCATCGACACTGTATTCCTATGCCAAGCTTTGCATGTTTAAAAACAGCCAAATGGGAACCAGGTTAAAAATATATCTGGAAAAATCGCTATATTATTAAACTATAGTCCCCATTTCTCATACAGAAATACAAGGAGTCCTTCAACACTCGAAATCCAAGCTTTGCGTACTGCCAAAATACAAAGAGGTCGCGAACAATTCGGCAGTTGTGCTCACTGCAAAATGTTCCGAAGATCCCGCTCGTTTCCGAAGTCTAGCCGACGGCTCTCTTCAACACATCGATAGCGCAATGTGTCTCGGTCCCAAGGATGGTTGCATCACCTCGTCAAAAGATACCGAGCTCGTTCTGATGGACCAATGCGGGAAGAAAGAAACAGAATTCAGCTTCACCGAAAAAGGCAGCCTGATGCATGTCATGTCGAAGACTTGTGCAAGGCCAAGCAGCTATCCCGTATCAAACGAAGATACGACAATGGTTGTGTTGAATGCGCTGTGTGATTCGACGAAGAATAAGTTTGAATTGGTGACAGGTAAATGGACCTTGGAATTGCTTACGTCGCGTAATTTTGAAACAATGAATTATTGACCCAAAAGTAACCAACAATGCACTGTGCATTCCAGAATGCCTCTGTATTATTTTAGTATTAAAAGTTAAGGTTACCATTGAGTAATTTTACAAAATATAAAACAATGGACATTCCGAAAACGGTTAACATTTTAATTCAACGTTTCGACTAGCTTGCAGTCTGCAAGCTGGTCGAAACGTTGAATTAAAATGTTAACCGTCTTGGGAGTGCCCATTGTTTTGTATTTTATTAGTATTAGTCCCTCTGTATTATGAGGGCTACAAGTTCATTAGTACTTGGTACTATTAAGTGTCACCCTCTTTAGATAAAGTCTCTATCTATCGATTATTTATTACTGCATGACGTAAGGTCTAAAATAAGATCTGTTGGCTCCAGTTTCATAATGATAGGAGATCCTCTTTCCAATGTAATCCGGGATAGTAATCCTGGATTAGGGAAGGAAAAGGATTGATTAGATAGGATTAGGGTTTTGGTAAGAATGGGTGTTTGTGAACTCAGCGACTGGACTCTGTACGTCAGTTGGTCAGAGTGCTGCACCGGAATCGCAGGGACCCAGTGCGATCCTGTCTATGGTTGCATTTTTCGCTGCTGCTCCCGGTCAGGTCCAAAATATGAATATTATGTATATAATTCTTGCTCAAAATTTCCATCGACAAAAACCGTTTTGAATTTTTAGTACCCATGCCAACGCCTACTTCGTTACCAGTAGCAGGAAATTGTGGGCAAGTCATGTTAGCAAAATCTGTCTTGGTTATCGGTGGTGTGAATGCAAAACGCGGAGCTTGGCCGTGGCAGGTAAGATTTTCATAGATATAGATCGAAACATATGAAGATGAACGATATCTCTACAATCGGCAAGGCCTTATTTCCATACAGCCAGTGGCGTTGCCACGGGGGGTTATCGCTCGTTTGAGGTTGGCTACGCCCCTGCATATAGTACGTTAAAACAAAGGGTTTTTTCAAAACTATTTCACGACGGTTATTTAAGACATTCGTGATTTCTGGTTTGGAACAGACTAATTTGGCTAACGTTATTTATATCGCGGTTGCTATATCCAATTCATAACTACAGATAACACACATACCTACATACTATCGTTCTAGTTTACAGAAGCATATAGAACAAGGTAACTAGATTATGTATAAGAGTTACTCACTCGTATAAATAATTCTGAAGCTTAGTTACGTTTGTTCTATGATGCTTCTGCAGAACAATATAGTAAGTAGAGTACTAACTAGGCATGCGAGTGACCTAAAATTGTGTATGAATTGGTTATAAACGAACGATAGTCAAATGTGTCTATCAATTGCTTGCACTAACAAAATTTTCATTTTCGATTTTATATATAGATTACAATTTTACTGATAGCACCCAAAACGGATGCCAGACTGGGCGTTTCGTTTTAAAGTGTTACACCTTTATAAAATTAAGTCTATTCTATTCTTAACCACACTATATATGGTTTTCCAAAAATATATTTCTTAAATATTTTCTTGAAATATGTCTTCAGGTCGCACTCAAACGAAGTGGTCGCTTTATCTGTGGAGGTTCTCTGATTAAACCAGACTGGGTTGTCACTGCGGCACATTGTATTAGTACTGGCGTAAGGTAATGTTTTCATATACTAACGACTTTGGTTAGCTGTTCTTAATGCTTTCCCAACACTATCATGTATTCTATTTACGTTAAAACGTGGTTGGAACACTCGTCAAACCTTTTATTTTGTTAATCTCTAGTTTGAAACGTCTCCAGAAGGCCTTCATTGACAAGCCCTAAGTGCGTTTGCAACAAAATCGAAACTTATATGGATAAAACTAATTTTCGTTTTTATTGTGCTTAAATGAATCCCAATCTTCCCCATAATGAAACGGGAGATAACCTATATGATGAAATATAAATTTACCATACTTGATATGATAATTTTGAAATTTGAAGACTTTTGACTGTTCCGTAATGGAAGTGTTCCAATTTTTCGTTCACTTAATTATAAAATAACTGAATGCCAGCTGCAAAAAAATTCACCACGTACGTAGACATTTAAACTGTCGTACTAATTGTTCATTAAACATTCTTATGCTCCAGACCTGATACATACGCTGTTGTTTTGGGTGAACATGATCGAAGAACTACTGAAGGAAGCGAAAACGAAATAACGGTGAAGAGATATATCAAGCATCCTCAGTACAATAGACCATATCCCATTAACAACGACATAGCATTACTTCAATTACGTTCGCCTGCGAAGCTTGGATCACGTATCAATACGGTGTGTTTACCACCACAAGACTACAATGTTCCAATAACCTCGACATGTTACATCACAGGTGAGTTTAGGGCACTGATCCCAAAACTTGGATTGGAATAAATTCTTTGTTTGCAATCACGTGACTTTTCATCCACATGACGGGCAATCTAACAACTTGTGAACGATTTTTCTCCTATCAGAATGGTTGTAGCAAGAAAAACTGAACGGTAATTCATCTTTTGAATCTTAAACCGTCTCTAAACTCGATCAATACATTACAACCAAAATTGCGTCATTGCAAACAAAGAAAGATATTGTCAAAAGAAAAATATTCAATCGGTCACTTCCCCAATACAATGGCCGCCTTAATTCTCATTATCTCGTGTTTAAAACGATCTAAACCTCATTAGAAAAGATGTGGGAAGCTATATCTAGCAAGCCACGTCGAATAAGATATTTGCTTGATTGTATAACTAATTTAAACGCGTAACGATTAACTTCGTAAGAAATGTAACCGATTTAAAAATCTCTGTTCTTCATTTTAAATATTCTGGTTTCAAAATTTATTCCCTGAATGAAACACTGTCGCTGAGGTAACACATACCTCCAACCACTGCCCAGGCTCCCTTGTTTCAGGCGGATAAAGACCCAGGATTTTTTACTCTACAGGTTGGGGTAAAATTCGACATCCAGGTAGTTCACATCCAATTTTACAACAAGCTGAAATGCCTCCTGTATCAAATCCTGTTTGTCATGAAAAGTTAAAGAAATCGCCTGGTAAGTAAACATTGAAAACCTACCTTAAACCTAACCCCAATCTTAAACCATAGCATTAAGTGGCAGTGAAGTCCGTCCTGCTCATCCGCGTATTTTGTTTACATATGTTGTTTACATACATTAGTCATGTTGGAACAACTTGTAGCAAGTCTGTTACCATCATCATCAATTAACCTTGTAACAAGGTGATAGCAACTTGTTCCAGACTTGTCAAACAACAAGCAGTGGGAACACATCCTGATATCGATTTGACAACAATCTTGTTACAACTTGTTTACAAATCTGTAACAACTTGCGCGTTTTTACGCCGTGTGTGTTTTGAAAACCTCCCTCTCGTACATCCATTTATCGCCATTATTTCGCAATTACCTGCTTATCGCAACTTTCATCCATTCCTCAGCAGGTTCATCACTGACCATAACCAAGAACATGATCTGTGGAGGAAAAGAAGGAAGTGTCATCAGCGGTTGCCATGGAGACAGCGGAGGACCCTACGTGTGCAAGGACACAAGCGGTCGTTGGTTCCTACAGGGCAGTGTGAGTTGGGGTAGCCCAAGATGCAGTACGGCCGAGAGATACAGTCTTTGCAAGAGTGGCAAAATTTCGAACCTGGATCGACGATGAAATTGATAAAAAAACCAGCCTAGACGCCGTTTATAGAATATAATTTTTAAAACTAGAATTAGATTGAAATGACTTATTAAGAATCTGACTATTATGTAGGTTACTATAAAAGAACGACAAAATTAGGACATTTATAAATTGTTTATTGTAGGCCATAAGTATTAAGACCGGGACAAAATTAAAGTATGATATGTTTATAGTCGTTAAAACACAACGCAAAATTTAGGTTATATTATTGAAATTGTACAAGATTTATGCACACTTGTAATTATTTAGGACTTTATTTATTCATATTTGCATATTGTACGAAATGAAAAATAAATTGAAACAAAACGATGAGTTCTGAATTACTATATTATTTTTAAGCCCAGAGAAATTGGCACGAAAATCAGTAAATTTGGATCCAGTACTTCGCTCGACATTAATAAATAGACATCACTGCCGTCAAACGTGAATGATGATGTTTGTTCAAGCTTATTGCGAATTCTTCAAAGACCACTTGCCAGGCGTTTGAATTGTTTATTTTAACTTGTTGTAAATCGTGGTTTGTTGTGTTGTGCCTCGAGAGTAATGCAAATTTTGATGGTAATATTAACAATAAACCTATTACAAGCCAACGACTTCTCATGACCTTATAGGGTAATGCTGCACTTTTGTTATTCTACAATTTTGTTATTGGCCATATCAGAATAATCTATTTATTTCATATGAGAAGCGAGGGAAGCTAATAAGTTCATTAAAGTTATGCTGTGTTTCATCATGGATAATAAAACACATTTTACAATCTATGGTTTCATTGATATATGTTTAAACATAATATACACAAACAGAAAAACTTTCTATTTTAAACTATGTTTGAATAATAATTATATAGCACGAAATCAGTAAAAGGAATGGGTACGAGCAAATGAAAAACAACCAATCAGCGCCCGATTTTCGCTGGTGTTTCCGAGAACCCAGCAATCTAGCCTCCACAAAAGATTGCAGGCTCAGGGCTCGAGATTCCGGACTATACATGCACAAAGAAACATCGTTGAAGAAACATTTGGCAAGTGTAACTATTATCGGATCAATTTACTGCATCTTTGTTCTATCTATATTATTCAACGAACTGTTGACTACAGCAATCGATTTAATTAAAAGCATATCCAAGTAAGTATGCGATGTAATTCATGATGAAAGTGGATAAGCGAAACGTTTGTCTTGGACCGTCTTTGTTATTTAATTAATCATGTGTGCTATAGCATCTCCAGCACAGCCCGTATCGAAAGTGCTCAACTTGGCAACAATATTTACAAAATATATCAAGGATCAATTTCATCTATCCATATTAGTGAATAGTGTATAAAGCAAGCAACATAGGTATATTAGCAAACATTTTAAGGAATATCGGCAAATAGTAGCTAATATGTAGGCTATACTATGCATGGGCATAGCGGTATTATCTTCGCAATCCTTAGGTTATATAGTGGATATGTTCTGAACTCATGCACTGTTAAAGCAATATATTATATACAGCTGACTATAGTCGTCATGGTTATTTGCTATGTGTATTTCCAGCCGACAATTTGAAAATACAAAGAATAAAACATATTCCGAAAATATATGGATCTTGAAAATCCAATATAAGTCGAAATATAATTCTACAATTTTGTCTTCATTTTGATCGTTATCTTGGATTTTCAACTTAACTGAAGATGAATATTTTCGGATTAACTTTTATTCTGTATTATTCGTCATATATAAAAGCACTTTACATTGGCATTGACATTGTCCCATTGACTTTCGCTGGCAATTTGGCAGCTGGATAAAAATAGGAATACGCTTCAATTCATGACGAAAATACATATACTCAATATCGAGCGCTGAGTTAAAGGCAAAGCCATTTAGGCATTTTAAAATCTACATGCAGTAGAAATTGACGCGCCATGTCGAACAGTCAAAGGCCAAGGGAAACAAGCGGGGAAAATGATTAATATGTAATATATATCGGGTGTCCCAAAAAACTGAACTGGACATGCACTGTTTGATTTCATGTAACGTAAAAGCTATAAAAGTTATTGAAATGAAATAAAGATCGTTGCATTCAGAAAAGACTAACTTAGATTTTGATATATAACATTTGAATTTACATGCAATATTGAGCGAGATACAACCAAAATAAAAATATTTATTATTTAACAAGTATAACTACATCGGTAATTATAAGGTTCAGGACTTCAGGTTTATGCTAATTTTTGACATTTTAAGAAACAGTATATAATTCAACATTCAAACATCAATAGCGCAGTCAAAATTGCATGTAAATTCCAGTACTATATATCAAAATCTAAGTTACTCCTTTCTGAATGCAACGATCTTTACTTCATTGCGATAGCTTTTACAGCTTTTACGTTACATGAAATCAAACAGTATCCAGTTTTTTTTTCTGGGACAACCGCGGTAGTACGCGCGCAGTTCGACACATGGCAAGATCGTGCATATATATGCATCAAAATTAAACTATAAAATTAAAATCTCATCTTCTACACATATACTGATAAGCGTCGTTAAAGGATTAATTTTAACAATCAGGTGCCGGTTGTATGGGGCGCCAAACCTGACAAAATAAAAATGGTTCGTGACATAAAGTATATTAAAATTTACCCCTCTGATATAAGATATGATACGCGAGGTAGCTCGTGATATAAAGTATAACTTATGTACACATCAATATATAGGATATAACCTTAATGACACAATATACAGAGTATACTTTAACTGTCCGCGATATAGGTTATAGAAATAAACTGGGGCGAGTTTTTAATTATTCATGTACTGCCATTTTAAAATTCACTTCCGGCTTCCGACTGCATCGTTCAAAAGTGAGCGAAATTGTGGGTGATTCACCACATTATTAACACTTGTCCTCATATTATTAGTATCATCAACAGTTACAGGCGCCGAAGTTGACGAGCTTTCTCCACTGAACGCCATTTCTCTTTCCGCCATGATGCTAAAATATCTTCTAATCTATTTACTACATTTCCCGCGTTAACTCATTTCGTTATTACTGATTAATTTATTACTGATTAATTTTCCTGATTAAATTTCAAAGCCGGAAGTGAATTTTAAAATGGTACATGAATAATTAAAAACTCGCCCCAGTCTATTTCTATAACCTATATCGCGGACAGTTAAAGTATACTCTGTATATTGTGTCACTAAGGTTATATCCTATATATTGATGTGTACATAAGTTATACTTTATATCACGAGCTACCTCGCGTATCATATCTTATATCAGAGGGGTAAATTTTAGTATACTTTATATCACGAACCATTTTTATTTTGTCAGCTTTGGCGCCCCATAGTCAAACAGCTAGACGTCATTCAAATTTTAAATCGATCTGGGGCTGGTTGTATAAAACTCTTAATCACTTTTTTAATCACTATTTTGTAGTTATAAATAGTGATTAACTCTCAAATACGCGCTTCTTATTGGATGACGTTTTTTATATCACGAACCATTTTTATTTTGTCAGGTTTGGCGCCCCATATTTGACTGTTTCGAGTTTGAGACGGATCATGCGCCTGTTCGATGGATTATATCTCCATGCAATCTGTATGGGCTCTACTTTTAAATTTCTCAAAAAATTTTCCGCATCACCAAATTTATAGAATCTTTTGATATTTTATACTCTCAACAATTTGGATTTCGGAAGAAAAAAACATTCTACTATACTTACTATCTTATGAACAATGATTTCTACATCTCTCTTTCGAGAAAAAAGGTGATATATTGGCATAATGCATAAATGGTGCTCATGCGCGTCATTGACTATAAATTAATGCTGCTCTTTACATCGAGCACCTATTTTAAATATTTTGTAGGCAAACCAGTAGCAATAGACAGATTTAGAAAGACGACGAGGCCAACACGACAACGCGGTCCCAATATCAGCTCAAAATTGAGAGCTAAGGAACTTGATTACTGAAATAAGTTGAAGCTTTTTAAAATAAGGCTAAGTTCGGGAAAAAAACGATCTGGTATTCTGCTATGCGACAGATTTTATGCAATTCCTCCAACGACGCAACAAACATTCACGTTGCTCCAATGAAGTGAAAATCTTAGTCTAACGTTGTATTCAGAATGATAACGTTATTGAGGATACCCTGGCCCTAGGACCACAAATTATTTAAACTTTTTGTTTTGCATAAATAATTTCTTTGTTTCGAAGGCATGTCTTTCAGTTCACGTCGTGTTTTCTAAATCAGTCTATCGCTCAAGGTAAACGGCTTTATAATTATTAAGGTAGCATGCGCTTCAACATGTAGCACACGGCAGTCTCAGGGCTAATGAATCTAGTCTTCCAAGAAGCGCGTTTCAGTAAAATGGTCTAAATTCTACAATAATGTCGGCAGCCGGAATATTCTATTACATTTTATCTTGTTTCCATTTCTTTACAGATCAATAAAAAATGGCTGACCTACCACCACCACCATACCCAGGGGCAGATCAAGGTCCGAGCTATCCTCCCGGTGACACAACCAAACAACCAATACCTCCAGATGGTCCAGGGGTACCAGGGTATCCTCCACAACCCATACCAGGGTATCCTCCACAACCCATACCAGGGTACCCACCCCGAGCTGGTCCAGCCAATCTGCAACAAGCCCAGGTTGCATACCCAGCGCCGACTGGATATCCACCACAACACACAGCCGGGTATCCCCCTCAGCCTATTGCTGGTTATCCCCCACAACCTGGTCACCCAGAGTCAGGGTACGCCCCTGTTCCAACAGGCTATCCACCACCAGGGTATACACAACAACCCGCGGGGTATACATCCACTAACACCAATACAACTATTGTTGTAACTGTAAGTTATATTTCAGAGCCATCATTAGGCAACAGGATATAATAGAGATGTTCAGAATTCGACTATATTGTGTTTCCTTAAATGCGCTGGATGTAAGGAAAAATCGATCTTTAAACCAGACAACTTTTGTCTAAAACTGTCGCATGCAACCTGCTTACAATTTGAGTTGTACTCGCCTGCGTTAAAATCGGCCTATATATAGACGTCACGTCTCATCTTTACCACCGTAAATCTGGCTATGTTGTATCACAAAAACAAGCTATACCAACCTTCATAGCATCATGACTACAGCCTGGGCCCCAGCTTGAAAATACGTCCTACGTTCGTGTTTCTGAACTAAAACGAGTTCTTCTCGTCTCTTGCTGCAGCTCCGCATTCATTGCCATTGTCGTTACTGAATTAAATTTATTCTTTTGTATTCCAGAGGGGTTTTTTTAAATCAATTCCAGAGTAATTCGGACATTTTTACCGTCCCCATCAACTTGCTTTCTGGATTTTCCATACCTTAAACGTAACAGCGATTACCTCGTTAATATCCGACAGGGCCTTAGCAAGGATTTTAGAACTGTTTCTAAATCCCAAGGTGCGTGTACCTGTCAACTACCAAGAATAGCAAAAAAGCACAGATCCAGGGGGGGGGGGGGCGAAGGATTTGGGGAGGATCACCTAGTTTTGTAATATTAAGCTGTGTTCAACGTTATACCGTCTTAACTAATTTTCAGTATCAGATTGCATTAACTCAGTGAACCACTATTCATTGATATGCATGTTTATTTTAGCAACAACCTGCAATTGCACCTGTAGTAGTAATTCCTTATGTGAACGATTACATGGGATTGTCAATATTCTCTTGCCTGTGCTGTTGGTGTATTGGACTGTTTGCCATCATAAAATCTTCGGAGGTAGATAATTAATTTTGTTTTTAGCATATTTTGTCTTTTGTGAGGGTCATGAAGGTGTAAAATAGGAACTGGGATTAGCCTTTTTTGAACTCAAGGAAAGTGGAATTTACTGCACTGGGATTTAACCACTGGGCATGGAATACAAAATTTTGAAAATGGGATTTCTCTTTTCTTGAGTGGACACCGACTCTACTATTCGATACAACTGCTTAAAGTCCTTTAATGATCGATTTCATAAACAAAAATTAAATTAAATTCTGTAATAGTAGACCCCAGAAAAGCACATTTTCGCCTGATCTCGCCTTCTTGCCGCGAGCGAACCTAGCGACCACGTTTTCATGCTCAGCAGTTTGTTGTAATGAGTGGAGTGACAGTGAATTTGGTACCCCTTTCACGATCCTCCTCTAGTGGAAACTCTGAATTGGCTTATTAAATATTCCTCTTTCTCCAGGCAAGAAGCAACTACAACGCAGGCAATTACACACAAGCTCTGGCCTCGGCAACAACGGCACGAAATCTTTCGTATATTTCGATATTTTGTGGGATTGTCATACCGATCCTGATCATCATCATAATATCAGCATAGATGTACGACCCCCCCAAAGACATTAACATGTAATGTAATTTATGTTTGCTAGTCCTAGATTCTAAAATAAAGTTCAAATTTGCTAGTATGTATATGTTTATAGGTATAGGTCATAATGAGTTTAATAAAACGGTTTGTGCGTAGGTGTGGAATTTCTCCTTTTATGTATAGTCGTGTGGTGGGTACAGAAGTTCTGCGAGCAATTGTGGTTGAAAAGCTTGCAAGGTAAAGATTCTCTTCTTTTGTGTAGGGTGTCTCACATGAGGGATCCTTACTGCCCACTATTCTCTGCAGTCTGCAACGCCACTATCCCAATACTACTATTATTTAAGATGGCTGAATCTGCATGTTCGCTGTTCTGTTACGTTTTACATTATCTTCTGTTTATAAAGTTTATATCGGCTTTTTATCACGTATGCGTTACTGAACAGTTTCAATTCTGTAACGCAGTACAGTATAAACTTGCTTGTTCAAGTACAGTATACTATATTTGTATGGCAGTATAACAACCTCGACATGTTTACATATTTAACCATGATATTTAACTATAAAGCATTCTGAGTATTTTCTGGTGATCTCACAAATCAATTAAATCGTTTCAAGAAATCGACACACGCTAACAGCAGAAGTTCCACTAATCGTATGGGTCAGGTACACTTTTTTAGGGTGGTGCTGGACTTCCCTAGGGTACAATACAAAAATAAGTCATCACGAACCTGAAATTCGCACTTTTGCGATTGTAACCCACAGAATCGTTCACACACAAGGGCCTTTTAATTAAGATCGAAATCTGGGCTGGCTCGTCTTCATCTTCGTTCCCAGAGCTTCTCGGCTGCGCTAAAACCTGGGAACGAGGATGGTAACGCTTGACTTACGTCTGTACGCAACATCGCTAAATATCTCAAAGAAACGTTTGGCAAGTGTATATAACTGTTCAGTTGTCGAACCAATTTACCATATATCTTTGTGCTATCTATCAACGAACTGTTGACCACAGCCATCGATTAAAAGTATATCCAGGTAAGTTGTGCGAAATAATTCAAGATGAAATTTGATAAGCGAAACGTTTGTCTTGGACCGTCTTTGTTATTTAATCATTTGTGCTATAGCATCTGCAGCAAAGCCCATATATCGAACGTGCTCAAATTGGCAACAATTTTTACAAAATATATCAAGGAACAAAATTTCATCTAATGCCTATCCAAATTAGTGTAGCAAACAATGTAGGTATATTAGCAAATTTTTTAAGTATTATTGACAAATAGTGATATACTATACATGGGCATAACGGAAATTTTGTCTTCGCCATCCTTAGGTTATATATATATTCTGAAATCACTGGCAAAGCAATATATTATGTACAGTATAGACTGTAGTTATTATGGTTATTTGCTATATCCATTTCGGCATTTCCAGCCGACAATTTGAAAATACATATATGGATCTTGATAATCCAAGATGTGACCATTCTACAATTTTGTCTTCATTTTCATCGTTATCTTCGGATTTTGAAGATGAGTATTTTTCGGAATAAGTTTTATTCTATATTATTCGTCATATATAAAAGCACTTTACACTGTCATTGAGCTTTCACTGGCAAGTCCAGTGGGGTTATAGGAATTCATGACGAAAATATGTACTCAGTATCGAGCGCTGTGATGTATTAAAGCATTTAAAGGTAAAGCCATTTACTGATTTAGGTATTTTTCTAAGATCTACAGTAGAAACACGTGCCATGCATGTCGAACAGCCAAAGACCAAGTCAAGGGGACTGATAAGCGGGTGAAAATGATTAAAATAGCATGGGTAGTTCGACATAGCGAGATCGTATCATCGTATGCATCAATATTAAACGATACAATTAAAATCTCATCTTATACAAACATATTGGTAAATGTCGTTAAAGGATTAATTTCAGCAATCAGACCGACTTAAAATTTAAAAGTATTGTCTGTTGAGACAGACCATGCGCTCGATGGATTATCTGCAAGTCTGTATGGGCAAAAACATGCAAAGAAACAGCGTGATGCTGATGGCCAATGCAAATAATCAGTTGACGGTGCCGGCCAGTTCGCTCAAAATGTCGAAGTTTTGCCAATCGTAATTTCCAGCTGGTTGTATCGTACTCAATCCCCAGTTGTCCCCATTTTAATATAGACAGATACCAAGTTAACACGATGCCTCTAAACTCTATTTAAATCGAAACCCTCTTTGCGGCTAAAATTCTAAACTGTTTCGAAGCGAATATAAGCCGGAAAAAAATGCTTGACGATTGCGTCTCAGTTTAATGAGGTAGCAAGATCCGTGGACTAGCTTTTATTATTTAGCGTATTCTAGATTAGAAACCAGTTTTGAATAGTGAAAGTTGAAAATTTCCACTTCCCTTTATCGAAGTACGTTTCATTCGTTTTCGTAGAACTCATGATATTAGACAGATTTAGATCGAGGACGCGGACGTCAAAGACGACGTGAAAATGGCGTCAAAATGGCGTGGCATATCCATACATGAACACAACACGCCATTTTCACGTCGTCTTTGATGTCCGCGTCCTCGATCTAAATCTGTCTATTACAGCCTTCGCGGACGCCGAATAGTCAATATAAGAGTCGCAGTATTCTAAAAGGGTTTTAATAACTTTGTACGAGGGCCGAGGTTTGAATGTTTCAAAGTTGAGCGTCTATAGTCAGCTCAAAGTGATATTACTTATTCTACTGCATTGTGAGAAGAACAAGGCGAATTTTCGTACAATCGATCTCATCACAAAACACGGCAAACTCCGCAACTGAGCCGCTATTTTTCTCACAATTGAACAAACCATAAGCGTGTTGTAAACATGACAAAATCCACTTAAAATGTGAAATTCATTAACATGCAACAGCGTGTTTATATGATTTGTAATTCAAATGAGAATGCTGATTTAAGAATGTGGCATGTGCGATTAATTGTTAATATGACTATATAACAAGCAAACATGAATATATTTGCTTACAAAATTTTACCTTAGCCCTTATAGATTTGTTTCATACGTCGTACGTACTATCGTCGAATTTAATAATTAATATTATTTATTTAAAAAATTCCTGGTTTCTGATTGGCTAACAGCCAACTGTGAAATTGTCATATCAACTCAATGGCTAACCAAATATGGATTTTTCACATTCATATTAGCAAAATGACGTCAAAGAGTAAATATGAAAAAATTTGGACGCGTTTGCGCCATATTACTATGACGGCGAAAATATAATTGCTTATATTGTTGTATTTGAGCCAAAGTATACGTTACTACACTTAATTTGCCTCTTTAAGTATTCCTGTTTCTTTCAAACGTACCCTTAAGTAAAAATAGTCCGCGAATTCAAATAAAACTCTCAAATAACATCGAACGAATTAACTGTTGCCGTAGTCAAGCACCGTGAAAATGATGCAAATCACGTACTAGTTCAACAACTACGGCATTGTACAACGCTTAAGACCACGTAATTTACATTCGCCTTTGTCTTTGAGGATTAATGCTATTGTTGATGACCATATTGGCGTTGCCGTTGCCCTTGTATTTGCCGCCAAACTCTCTGATACGACGATGACGACGGCTGTCGAAGGACTAAGGAATTGTTTTTTTCTTAATACGAATAAAATACAAATGTTTTGAATTTTTTAAATAAATAATAAATAAACATACATTATTATTATTTAACAATTATTGGATTCGTTTTCGCACAATATGAAGAATTATCAAGCCCTCAGTTTGCCGTTATCAACCTCAGCCTTCGGCTTCGGTTGATAACGGCAAACTTTGGACTTGATAATTCTTCATATCGTGCTCATCCTCATTCAATAATTGTTAAATAATAATAATAAATGTTTATTTCAAGAGGGTGCATGAGATTAATATTTACTTACATTATTATTATACTCTCAACAAGGTCAAGAAATTTCATATTAAATAAATATTAAATTAGAATTAATTCGTATAGCAACGTCAACGACATTTTGCAAGGTGGTGCCCTGCAAGTGTCTATACATTTACGGTTTAATTTAAAATAAAAAATTCCTTTGGTTTCGTTTTAAACAAACCGAGCGCTGTTCGATATCGATATTCTTCAACTCATCGGGTAAGAGTTGATATGATGAGGCAGATTTTATTTAACTCTTCTAAGGTCGCAATAACGTGAAAATTTAAGTTTAACATTGTTTTCAGAATGACAGCGTTGTTGAGGACACCCCTGCATGGGACCACAAATTATTCAAACTTTTTGTTTTGCATGAAAAATTTCTTTGTTTCGAAGGCGCGTCTTTCAGTTCGCGTCGTGTTTTCTAAGGGCCTGTTCATATGGGCAAAAGTTATCCCGTTTAACGAGAAACTACTTTTCGACTAGCCAAATACTTTTGTTCTGTTCATATGGAGAAACGTTAAGGTCCATTCCACCCAAGAAAAATTTCCACGGACAGAGAATTTTCCGAAAATATCATTGTTAAAAGTTGAAAATTTTCAACTTCAAAATTTTTTCCGACGGAAAATTTGTGTCGGCCATTCACATTTCACAAAATTGTCTGTCTGTCAACAAGCAAGATCTCGGTACACGGGGAAACTTTTTGTCTCATATGAACGCAGTGTGACTTTTCATAGTATTTTCATACCAAGGCGAGATCTCGCTTGTAAACTTACCTTGTCGAAACGTTTCTCGCTAACCGGGATAACTTTTGCCCATATGAACAGGCCCTAAATCACTCAAGGTAAACGGCTTTATAATTATTAAGGTAGCATGCGCTTCAACATGTAGTACACGGCAGTCTCAGGGTTAATGAATATACACTGTAGTTTTTCTAGGCAGCGCGTTTCTGTCAGTGAAATGGTATAAATTCCACAATAATGTCAGCAGCCGGAATACTCTATTACATTTTCTCTTGCTTCCCTTTCTTTACAGATCAATAAAAAATGGCTGACGCACCACCACCACCATACCCAGGGGCAGATCAAGGTCCGAGCTATCCTCCTGGTGACACAACCAAACAACCAATACCTCCAGATGGTTCAGGGGCACCAGGGTATCCTCCACAACCCACACCTGGTTATCCACCCCAAGCTGGTCCAGCCAATCCGCCACAAGCCCAGGTTGCATACCCAGCGCCGACTGGATATCCACCACAACACACTGCCGGGTATCCCCCTCAGCCCACTACCGGTTATCCCCCTCAGCCCACTGCCGGGTATCCCCCTCAGCCCACTGCCGGGTATCCCCCGCAGTCTGCTACTGGTTATTCCATACAACAAGGTCATCCTGGTTATCCACAGCAAGGGTATAACCAAGGGTATGCCCCTGCTGCAACAGGCTATCACCCACCTGGACAAGGGCATATACAACAACCTACGGGGCATACCTCCACCAACACCAATACAACTGTTGTTGTAACTGTAAGTTATATTTCAGAACCATCATTAGGCAACCTGATATAATAGACATGCTCAGATTTTGACTTTCACTGGCCTGAGTATCAGGCCATATTATGCTTCCTCAAATGCGCTGGATGTAAGGGAAAAACGACTTTTAAACCACAAAACGTTTGCCTAAAACTGTCGCATGCAACCTGCTTACAACTTGAGTTGTACTGTGTAAATCAATCACAAAACTCGACCACGTTAAAATCGGCCTATAGACGTCACGCCTCATCTTTACCACAGTAAATCTGACTATATGTTGTATCATAAAAACAAGCTATACCAACCTTCTTGCATCATGACCACAGCCTGGGTGCCAGCTTGAAAATACGTTTCACGTTGGTGATTTCTGAACTAAAACGAGTTCTTCTCGTCTCTTGCTGTTGCTCCGCATTCATTGACATTGTCCTTACAAAATTAAATTTATTCTTTTGTATTCATTTATCCGAATTCATTCTTATCAATTCCAGAGTAATTCGGACATTTCTACCGTCCCCATGAACTTGCTTTTTGGATTTTCAATACCTTAAACGTAATAGCGATTACCGTTAATATACTGTACGGCCAGGGACTTGGCTAGGATTTTAGAATTTGGGAGTGTTTCTAAATTCCTAAGGTGTGTATCTGAAGTACCCAGAATAGCATAAAAGTACAGTTCCAGGGGGAGAGCGGAGGATTTGGGGAGAATCACTTACGCCTGTATTCTAAAAGCTCACTCACACTCACACTCAATAAGTGGAGGTTTAATCTGAGCTTCTCTTGAGTGTCATTGCTGTTTTTTAATAGCTGGAAGGTGAGTAGTCACATGCTAAGGTATGACACTAGTCCTCCAGCTATTCAAAAACAGCAATGACACTCGAGAGAAGCTCAGATTGAACTCCCACTCATTGAGTGTGAGTTTGAGTGAGCTTTTAGAATACGGGCGTTAGTTTTGTAATATATTAAGCTGTGTTCAAAATTATATACCGTCTTAACTTTTCAGTATTAGATTGCATTAACTCGGTGAATCCCTATTCATTGATATTGCATGTTTATTTCAGCAACAACCTACAATTGCAACTGCAGTAGTGATTCCCTACGTGAACGATTACATGGGATTGTCAATATTTTCTTGCCTTTGCTGCTGTTGGTGTATTGGACTGTTTGCCATCATTAAATCTTCCGAGGTAAATAATTTATTTTGTTATTAGCATAATTTAGCATATTAAAAAAATCGGAAATGGGAATGGGATTTCTCTTCTTGAGTTGACTCCGACTCTATTATTCAATACAACTTGTTTAAAGTCCTTTAATGATTCTATTTTATAAATAAAAATAATTAAATTCTAAAGTAGTAGACCTTAGAAAAACATACCATAATAACGAAAACACATTTTCACTCGCCGTGTACAAGCCTAGCCACCACGTTTTCATGTTTCCACTGTGAATGGGATTTCAAATTTCGTTACTGGGATTTGGACAGATTAAAACTGGGAGGTAGAATTTGGTACGCAATACAAAAGTATACAAAATTTGCAAACTTTGCAAGGCTATATTTTTCGCATTTTACAACATTTCGCAACCAAACTTTGCAATGTTACTCATTTTAGTATGCTCTTTCTAGCTGTGGTGATTTATTAGCATCTCCTTTCCTAGTTTTAAAATTAGTCCATAATGAGAATGGGCTATTGTCAAAACCTGGAACACCGTATGCAAAGAAGTTTCACCTGACATTTTCACTAGTCCATATTCTTTTAAAGTGTATCGTTAAACGTATAGATACTCTATGTTAGTTAGTTCTGCTTGTGCATGACATTGACATGGCCTGCACGTGGTATAATTGAATATTTGAATCGTGACTGTCTATGCCATAGGACTTAGCTAGCCATCAGTAATTGTTGAGCACACTTCTTTGCGTTTGTGTCTTATATGTGCACTGTAAATTTCAGGGAGTTGGATCGGCTCCGAAGGTGCTATTCTGTAACTGCTTATGTACTGTATTTTGTCATGTTTCGCTCGCTACGCTGGTTTAAATAAATGATTACAAAGCCCAGTCGAATTGTAATCAAGACCCAACGTTTCGACACTCCAGTCTAGTGTCTTCGTCAGGGGGGATCTAAAGTTGCAATCGTGGCTTCTTAAATACCCGAGGGATGACGTCACCTGCCAATGAGATGCATGTATTCCTCTGGCAAATAGACACCGTCATCCCTATTCAAAGCATGATTACTCATATTTATATGCCACGCTTCTAGGCATAGTCTTTGACCATGGTGATTGTTTGTGGCACTTTAGGAGGTGATTCGGCGGCACCTTGACGTTTGCAGTGTGTACAATATAGGCCTATATATGTATTAATATATGTCGTGACCATAACTCAAATCTAGGGATTTGAGTTACCTGGATTCAGGTCCGAATCACGTGAACCTGTCCATTCAGGCCCTAACCACCGAACGTCTGCACCTTATCACACCGAACTACAGAAGTGTTCGGTGGAAATTAAACCGAAAGTCAATTGTCGTGACATGATCAATAAATAAATTGGCTTCTTCTCTAAGCAGATTACTATTGCAGTTGGCTATGAGTTAGCTAATGACCTGGGAGTCTGCTTGGCACTCTCTATATCCGATACCCTGAGGGCATAGGTCGTACCCAGACTGCGCGCGGTTCCTATGATATTAACCTTGGTTACTATGTAACATCATTAAATTAGTAAATTTAGGAACTAGGGCCCATTTAGTGCCTTTGTCCTACTCCTTTAGTTATATTGAAAGTAATTACGGGGAACGCCTTGCATGGAACATCTTGTCCCGTTTGTGCTATTCCGTTTGCGTTTATCTACCAATTGTGTTGTCTTTCTGTCAGTTTGGTTTTCGTAACATATGTGTTGTACCATATATTTATTGTTTAATCATATAGTAGAATACCCAATAAATGTTATAAATTATTAAAACTCGAAAATAAATAGAGTTTTCACCTTTCTCCAGGCAAGAAGCAACTACGAGAGAGGCAATTACACACAAGCTCTGGCCTCGGCAACATCAGCACGAAATCTTTCGTATATTTCAATATTTTGTGGGATTGGCATATTCATCCTGATCATCATCATAGCATCAGTATAGATGAGCGACCCCCCAAAGACTTAAACATGTAATGTAATTTGTGTTTGCTAGTCCTAGATTCTGGAACAAAGTTCAAATTTGCCATGTAGCTATATTTATAGGTACAGTACAGGTATAGGTCATTGCATAGAATTTCCAATATAAGAGCGATCAGTGGGCCCCCAACCCCAATGGGCCAAAAGGAGGACCCCAGGCTCAGGCTGTAGAGCAAAATGTGTATTTTTCTTCTCGTCGGTCACATGTGTATTGTTCTTCTCGTCCAACAAACCCACAGCAATGTGTTGGTTTAATTACCCAGTCATGGTATTACACAATGGTTTGAAATGGTTTAACACAGCTATTGGTTGTTCAGGCAAAAATACAATAAACATGTGACAGACATGATTCATTTTTTTTACTTTATGGTTTAATTAGATAGAGTTGGACTACAATATTAGTCAACGTTAACTGCAGGCTTTATCAACGCATAGTGGTATAGATGATACTGTAAAACACTGGTTAAATTATATTCTAATGCAACTGTTTAAGCAGTAGGTAGGCTATTTAAAATGTTTCTGCGTATAATGCATAATAATTACGACCCTAATTAGCAGCATGTCACGACCCTATCAGCTTTAGCTGTATTTTTTTCAATCGTGATTAAATAGACTTTTATTAGATGTTTCAATTAAAAATAACGAGTTTTTGGTAAAACGGTTTGTGCGTATAGGCGTGTTATTTCATAAGTAGTTCTCTTTTTACGTAGTCGTTTGTTGGAGGGGTTCGTCATAAGTTCCATCAAAGTGGTGGCCCGGGGCAATTTCCCCCTCCCCACTCTGCCCCCCTCTTGGCGACCCTGCTTGTCACAGTTAAACTTGTCGAGCTATTTACAATTTAATGAAACAAATGTCAGAAGTGAATATAGGCTTGTAATCATGGAGCCTGAGGAGTCTATATTGTTTTAGTACAATTTCAGTATTGAAAAAGTTTTTCAATAAATTAGTTGTTGATAGTTACTGTTCAGAGCAGTAACTATTGCCTCCAAGTTACTGCTGAGGCAGCCAATCAGAAATGCTCAAAGGCCATTTTTCAATTTATTTTATACTGAAATTCCTGTATACTAATCATTAACCCATTAAGCCGCAATGCGCCCCAGTGTGCCCTACTTATTTTTTTTACTTGTCTAACGCCAGACAATTTTACTTGCCAATGGGGAAGCTCTGCAGCTTAATGGGTTAACCATAAAATCTGACAATGTCTCTAGTTAACCCAATGAGCCCTACTTATTTTTTTATTTGTCTAACGCCAGACGATTTTACTCGTCGATGGGGAAGCTCTGCAGCTTAATGTAATTACTATCTCAACATTGATATCATGGCAAAATACATTGTACTGACTGGTGACCAGGCCTAGCAAATTGCTTGATTTTTTAAGTAACCCCCAGGGTGGGACTGCACCCCCTGTCTCACATGCCTACTGTATATCTTGGTATATAAATAAATAAAACCCTCACTGATAAAACAATAAGTGTCTGGTACAGAGATAAAAACTGTCAAGTTGTTACAGGTCTGCAAACAAGTTGTTACATGATTGTCAAATCTGTTCATGTACCAGCTGTTGACAAGTTGTGTTCATACTGCTTCTTCCCAATTGTTGGAATAAGCTTAGAACAGGCTGTTAACAACTTGTAACAAGCTTGATGGCATTATTAGAATTGTTACAAGGTTGTTCTAACAAGTCTGATACAGTCATGATATAACAAGAATGTTACAAGGTTGACGACACAAGGTTGTATTTAACAATATTGTTAAATCATGATTCATGACTGTAATCGTACTTGTTGGAACAACCTTGCATCAAGTTTGACAATTCCATCAAGCTTGTTACAAGTTGTTAACAGCTTGTTCTGAACTTGTTGACAACTTGGGACAAGCAGTGCGAACACTACTTGTTGATGGCTTGTTGGTAGATGTGCTATAAGATGTAAGATTTTTGTGTGTGTACAACAGTATGTTTGTTGATCTTTAGTTCATGAATCTTGAGGCTTATATCACAAATATCAGAGAAATTTAAGCCTGCATATGAACAGGCTCTCACACAAAACAGAAACAATTGACTTTTTAGACAGGACAATAAATTCTATTATTATATATCTAAATTAAGCAATTCGTGGTTTCTGCTTGGCCAACAGCCAACTGTGAAATTGTAGTTTTTACATAATGTTCAACAGAGTGATGTCATTACATTGAATACGAAAAAATTATATGGAAATGAATACTCAACATTAGTATCATTCGGTGAAAATAAATAATACAAAATATGAATACTCAACATTAATATCATGACAAAATACATATAAAGTATCAAGAAGAAATATCAACAAAAACAGTCACGAAAGGATTTGAAACATACTTATGAAAGAAAAAAGGAAAGATTTTCTGCAAGATGGGAAAAAGAACCGGTCATTTATATTTCGACAAATTGAACCCAGTTCAACCCACAGGTGATACCAAACCAACAAAAACTTCAGGCTTACTATTTTTCATATATCATGCTCAACCTCATCGATGACCAAGCATATTACAGCAAAATACTTCTATTTATATAAAGCTAATACACTTTCATTTGGTCGCAAAGCGAATGAACGGCCAACGACAAAATACTAAGCAAAATAATACTCACATATACATGTAAGAAATGTTACAAATCAACATGTTACAAATCACTTACCGAAGTAAACAAGGCATATACTGTATGACAAATTTGAAGGCAGAATGCTTTAAACTTGGGTCCGTTCGAATACGCGTAAAATTTGCCATAACACTGTAGTTATCCCATGTTATTTTATTCCAAGTTTGTCTGTGGGTGCGAGATCGGAGTTTGAATCTTTCATTTTCAAAAAATTTGAATTTGCCCCTTGTCAGCACTGATCTAAAAATTTCCTTAAAAACTGGAATTTGTAAGTTTCAATTCAAGGAATGTTTGGGAAACCAAGGAATTTTAGAGCTATTGCTCAAGGAATTCTTAAAATTATCCATTTAATATCCACACTATGGCGTCAGATTTCCGCCAATATTCATGTTGATATTAACTCAACATGTTTCCGTATTGAAGTGAATTTCGACATTGAACATATCAAATTCAGCATACCACTTTAATTCAACATTGCTTCAATTTCAACATGTTTCTCTCATTGATGTTAATTTGAATATTGAACGTGTCAAATTTAAGTGAAATACAACATTGA